ATATTCATCACTTCCACATGTGAAATTCTACATGTCTGAATTCAAAACATCCCCAAATGGTCCAAACTACCCCATTTCTAAAGTTAGGTTTTACTCTTGAGAAAATTATGCATAAGACAGAACCATGTACAAGACGAAAATCTTCTAATCAAGGAAGCTTAGTACTATTTCAGTTTCCCTTTGTTTGGTGTCCCAGAGGTTTTTATATCATAATACAATGCACCAGATTAAAAATCAAGGTGAGAGAGATGACTTTTTTCTGTAAAGTGGGAAAAGGTAAATAGTGAAAAAGGAAAGTGAGAAAGAACTTTTTTTTTTTTTTAATAATATTGTGCTTTCCGTAAAAGTTTACACAGCAAATTAGGTTTCCATCTGACAATTTCTATACAAATTGTTCAGTGACATTACATTTTTCACAATGTGCCAACATTCTCTTTGTGTTCTGCTTGTTCCGTTTCCAGTGCTCTAGTTTCCCTGCAAGAAGCCCTGGTGGCACAGTGGTTGAGCACTAGGCTGCTAATCTAAAGGTCAGTGGTTTGAACCCACCAGTTGCTCAACAGGAGAAAGATGTGGCACTCTGATTCGGTAAAGATTACAGCCTTGTAAACCAGTTCTACTCTGTTCCTATAGGGTCACTATGGGTCAGAATTGACTCCATGGCAATGGGTTTAGTTTCCCTGTCCCTTTATCTTCTCATCTTTGCTTTAGAGTAATTGTTAACCTTTTGGTTTCATATAGATGTTTTTTTAATGGAGCACCATACTCACGGGTAATATCCTTTATTTTGTGTGCCAATCTGTTATTTCACTAAAAGGTGACCTCAGAGGATAGTTTTGGTTCAAGGTTTAAAGAGCATCTCAGGGCAACAGTCTCAGGGAGTCCTCTAGTCTCAACTAGTCCAGTAAGTCTGGGCTTTTTGAGAATTTGAGTTCTGTTCCACTTTTTTCTCTTGTTCTATTAGGGTCCATATCTTGTGGCCCTGATCAGAATGGTGGGTTGTTAGTGGTAGCCAGGTACCACCCAGTTCTTCTGGTCTTGGGTTAGATAAGGCTGTGGCTCGTGTAGGCTATTAGCGTTATAGACTAGTTTCTTCTCTGAGACTTTGGCTTCCTTCTTTCTCTTTTGCTCCTGACGCGTAGAGACCAATAGTTTTATCTCAGATAGTTGCTTGCAAGCTTTTAAGACCCCAGACACAACTCATCTCACTAGGATGCAGAACATAAACTCTGTGAACTATATTATGCCCATTAACTAAATTGTCCCATGAGACTAAGGTCCTAAGCCTTCAAACCCAGAAAACCAATCTTGCAAGGTGTTTGGTTTTGTCTGAGAATTATCTGTAACTGTATGCTCTATGAATATATATGCATACACACACATACCTGTACATACACACATATACTATACCTGCCCATTCACAAATATGCCTATATACATACATATGTGACCATACACTCATTTTTTGGTTATTGTTGGCATTGTTGCCAAATTATGTACGTCATATTTAGCACAAACATCCTTTTCTCTTGTGCGCTTCTTAGTGGCATTGTTTACTTTGGTCAAACTGTGCTCATTATAGCCACATACAGTGCTACTTTTCCCATCACCCAAAATAACAAGTGTCTACAATCTAGAGAGTGATTCCTCCTCCACCTCCCCCATCTATTCCTGGTAACCACCAATGAACGTTGGTCTCTGTATATATATCTGTTCTTGTCTTCTTATAGAAGTGGGATCCTACAATATTTGTCATTATGTGACTGACTTATTTCACTCAGCATGATATCTTCCAGATCCATTCACGTTATGTCTTGTGGACTCCTTGCTCTTTAGGGTTGCAGTTGTGTAGTATTTCATTGTATGTATGTACCACATTTTGCTTATCCATTCATCTGCTGATGGGCACTTAGGTTGTTTCCATCTTTTTGCTATTGTAAATAATGCTGCAGTGAATGTAGGTGTGCATATGGCTCTCTATGCCTCTTTATTAGATCTCAAGAAAGAACTATCTTGATGACATTTTCTGAAAAATCACTTTTAGGAAGATGAAGATCTGGAAATCGAGTCACTTAAGTTTCTAACAACCTGCGTTATGCAGATGACACAACCTTGCTTGCTGAAAGTGAAGAGGACTTGAAGCACTTACTAATGACAATCAAAGACTGTAGCCTTCAGTATGGATTACACCTCAACATATAGAAAACAAAAATCCTCACAACTGGACCAATAAGCAACATCACGATAAACAGACAAAAGACTGAAGTTGTCAAAGATTTCATTTTACTTCAATCCACATCAACACCCATGGAAGCAGCGTTCAAGAAATCAAACGATGCATTGCATTGGCCAAATCTCCTGCAAAAGACCTCTTTAAAGTGTTAAAAAGCAAAGATGTCACCTTGAAGACTTAAGGTGTACCTGACCCAAGCCATGGTGTCTTCAATCGCCTCACATGCATGTGAAAGCTGGACAATGAGTAAGCAAGACCAAAAAAGAATTGGCGCCTTTGAATTACAGTGTTGGTGAAGAATATTGAATATACTATGGACTGCCAAAAGAACCAACAAATCTATCTTGGAAGAAGTACAACCAGAATGCTCCTTAGAAGCAGGGATAGCAAGACTACGTCTCACGTACTTTGGACGTGTTATCAGGAGGGATCAGTTCCTGGAGAAGGACATCATGCTTGGTAAAGCGGATGGTCAGTGAAAAAAAGGAAGACCCTCAACAAGATGGACTGACACAGTGGCTGCAACAATAGGCTCAAGCATGATTGTAAGGATAGTGCAGGACCGGGCAGTGTTTTGTTCTGTCGTACAGAGGGTAGCTATGAGTTGGAAATGACTCGACGGCACCTAACAATTTTCTATGCCCGTGTACCTCTTGTAAAGTTTTCACTCCAGACTGAAAACTCCTCATCAGTCACACCTTGGACTATACAGGAAGTAATGCAATGCTTAGTGGAGAAAGCATGAGTTTTGGAGTCAGACAGTGGTGGCTGGAATTCAGTTATTTACTTAGTCTAGGAACTAAAGGCAAGTCACTTCCCTCTGAAGTTTCCTTTTCTATAAAATAAAGCTAATATCTATCCCACTGGACTATCGATGGGATTTAAAGAAGATGTATGAAAAGAACCTACCATAATGCTTGGCAATTCACTTAAAAGTACTGTACATTGTTATGGACCTTGGAACATAGGGCCAAGGAATCCACAGCCTCTGCTCTAGAGGAGCATGGCCATCTGACGGCAGCCACAGATGTGCAGATAGGCAGCTTCAGTATAATGTGGTGCCAGGCTACAGATCCACTGAGGGATGAACATAAATTTCATCCTCCTGAGAAAGGTTAGGGAAGACTCTCTGGAGAGGTGGCTCAAAATGGGTTGTGAAGGATGAGTATCAAGATGTTTAAGGCAGAGGGAGCTGGCTGAGCAAAGACACAAAAGCATAAAACAGCATGTTGTAAAGGAACTTCAAGCAATTTGGTGTCACCACAACACAAAATGCAAAGGCATAAATGGGAACAAGTGACATTGAAGAGGTAGGCAGCTTCTTAAAGGCTGTATTAAAAACCTTGACTTTATCCTGTGCCTCCATTTACTTACATGCTTCAAATTCTTCCGTAAAATGGGTATTTCTCGCAGGGCTATTAAACCAAAAAAACAAGCCCATTGCCGTTGAGTCAATTCCGACTCATAGCAATTCTATAGGACAGAGTAGAACTGCTCCATAGGGTTTCCAAGGAGCAGCTGGTAGGTTCAAACTGCTGACCTTTTAGTTAGCAGCCAAACTCCTAACCACTGCGCTACCAGGGCTCCACAAGGCTGTTAAATCCCCATTGCCATCGAGTCAATTCTGACTCATAGCGACCCTATAGGACAGAGTAGAACTGCCCCACAGGGTTTCCAAGAAGATCCTTGTGGATTCAAACTGCCGGCCTTTTGGTTAGCAGCCGTAGCTGTCAAACACTACGCCACCAGGGTTTTAGGAGAGCTAAAAGGGGAACTAAACAAGATTAACTAACACACATAAAGCACTTAGAAGAGTGCCTGGCGCATACTAAAGTTCAAATGTTTGCTGTTGTTAATACTATTATCCTGAAGGTGGCCAGAAATCCCTGACAAGTTTTAAGTAGGGAAGTGACAGGTCACATTTGCACTTGGAAAGACCCCTCAGGGGGAAGTGAGGATTGCAGGAGAGAATACTGGCGGCCAGTAGACAAGTCAAAAAACTATCTCAATTAATAGTCTAGGAAAGAGCAAAGGCCTGCCCCACAGTACCAGTGATAGTGAGGACCAAAATAATTCTAAGTATTTAAAAAGTAGAATAGATGAGCCCTGGTGCCCATTTGGAGCCCCAGTGGCACAGCGGTTAAGAGTTTGGCTGCTAACCAAAAGGTCAGTAGTTTGAATCCCCCAGCCACTCCTTAGAAACCCTATAGGGCAGTTCTACTCTGTCCTATAGGGTCACTATGAGTTGGAATCGACTCAAGGGCTACAGGTTTGGTTATTTTTTTTTGTGTGTGTGTGTGCCCATTTGAACGTGGGAGGTGAGGGAGAGGGAGTAGTTCAGGATGACTCTCAGATTAGGCCCTCAAGGTTAGTTTTCTTCCTGAAGTCATCTCCACCCCTTCTTCCATTCTCCAATAACAAAAAGGCTATCACAACATAGTTCCTTTTTAAGTTTTATTAAAGTTTAACGGAACAATTGATATTTTCTCTTTTCTTCTTAACCCCAGTACAAAAATACAGTTGATGACTCGACAAAAATGGCTCCACTTACGGCTTGAAGGTTTGGGTTTCTCCAACAGTAACAAGGGAAAGCATGCTTCCAGCTGGGGCTGAGTCCAAGCACACAGTCATTCCTGCACACGCATGCGTGCAAACAGGGAAGCCCAAGCAGGCCAAGAGGAAGGACATCACAGGAATTTGGGAAAAAGCCCAAGATTATTCCCAGGAGAAAAAGAAAAAAAGCAGGCCAGTATCCTCAGTAGGGGATAGAATTACTGATTTACATTTACCATTTGTTATTTAAAAAAAAAAAAAAATTGATAAGTTATGCCAGCAATTTTAACATTTTAGAAAAGATGCTACTGGCCTCCTTTCACCACCAAGGTGAGTAAAGCAGGAGGAAACAAAAAAAAGATTCAAAAAACGTAAGTGTGAGGAGTAAACCTCCAAGTGGCTGGTATACCTCAAGTTTTGTGTCAAAGAGTTTGCTCTTTACATTCAATGATAAAACAACATTTAGGAAAGAGGGAGCAGAAGGAAGTCGGCCACACTGTAGATTCACAAAATGGAGACCAGCTTGTTAGCAGAACTCTCCCACAGTGAGAGAGCTCCTTCCAGTGCAGGTAGAGCAAAGTCTCCTGGCCGTTTTAATGGTTTTGGGCAATTCCTCAATATTCCCTTTCCTGCTGCTTTCCTTCCAGAACACTCACTTTGATGAAAGAAGGGATACATTCATATTACAACTCATCTTCAAGATGTTTCTCTCTGAAGGCATCACCCGTCAGCCTTTCCTGAGCTTCCTTCATCCCCTGAACAACTGTGAAATAAAGGTTGGGGGAGAAAAGTATGAAGTAAGTCATTAAAACTGACATCTGATGAGCAGTGTAGATTCTTAAATGTTTAGAAGAAATATGAAAAGAATACAGAATCTAGTCTCAAGATCTAGTTGTGGATTTTAGCCTTGGCAAGTAATTTACCTCTTTGAATTTGTTTCTTCATCTATGAGATAACAGTATTTACTTTATACAGGAATATGATAAAAATTAAATGAGAATGGATAAAAGAAGTACTTTATACAAAAAAAGGACCAGATTTACTGGCCTAAAGGAGACTGGAGAAACCCTGAGAGTATGGCCCCCAGACACCCTTTTAGCTCAGTGGTGAAGTTACCTCCGAGGTTCACTGTTCAGGCTGGGAGTGGACAGCCCCGTAAAACCAAATGAGACTAACGAGGTACAGGAGTCCAGTGACAAGGGCCAGAAGGCAGAACGGGACAAGGAAGCTGGTGATAGGGAACCCAAGGTTGGGTAAGGATATTGTTGATGTGTTGTGAGATTGTTAACCACTGTCATAGGGCAACATTTGTAGTAACTGTTAAATGAGAAACTATTTTGTTCTGTAAGCCTTCATCTTAAGTGAGAATAACAGCACAATTGGAAAAGCGTAATCAATGTCACTGACCTGTGCATGTAGAAATTTTTGAAACGGTTTATCTTTGGCTATGTGTATTTTCACCAAAAAAAAAAAAGGTCAAGAAGAGAGAGGGTTGACATGTTGTGGGGCTGTTACCCAATGTCATAAAACAATATGTGTACTACTGTTTCATGAGAACTATTTGTTCTGTAAGCCTTCACCTGAAGTACAATAAAAAATAAATAAATAAATAATAAAAAAAAGGAAGTGCTTTATAAACTATGAAGTCCTACAAAAATGTTAGTGTAACTTTGGCTTACCCTCTAGGATTAGAGTTGATCCCTTGTTATAGACTATAGATGTTGTTCACTTGACACTAATGGGATAGAGAACATCTTCCTACTATCCCCATTACGTCTTTTAGATGAATGTGGCATTTATATCATTTCCTATGGAGGTTACAGGTTATACTGGTGTGTGTGTGTGTATGTGTGTGTGCGTGTGTGCGCACGCGCGCGCTTGGAGGGAAGATGGTCTCCACTGAAAGCGGTGGTCATTTCCAGGAACAACCACACAGGGAAGAAGCAACTTCTCAGGCAAAAAAAGAGAGAGAGAGAGAGAGACAGAAACCTTGAAGCAGAGCCTTAGGGAGCCTGGAGATGAAACTTACTATCTCCAGGCATAAGGGGACAGCTGTTTAGGCACAGGCTCCTCGGTGGTGATTCTACAATAGTACCCCTATACAATGCATGGTCAGGAGCTAGGTTGGATCAGAGTCTGTGAATCTTGGAAAGCAAGCCTTAGAGCCAGATAATATAGTTTATTATTTCCCTTTTGTTTTGCCTAAGCCTTTAGTAAAGCCAGGTTTGAAAGTTCCAGTTTCATGACAGATGAGCCATGGGGAATTCAGGGAAGTGTACTGTGTCCACATTTGGACTAATGTGTTAAAGGATGATGCAAGCGTGAAGATGAAAGTTGTATGAAATCCTAAAGGGAAGGTGAATCTCAAGGAACAAGTGTTGGGGAGCTGAAGTCCAGTTGCCCTTCTCCACTTACAGATTTTCCCTCTAACACGAATCTCAGTGGAAGGAGGTGACAACCTCCCCAGATCTCTTTCCCCTCCCCTATTCTGAAAAATAAGAGTCCCAAGGGCTCAAAACATAAATTGATAAACCTTGCAGCATGGGGGATGGGGGAGGGGGGAGGGGGGAGGAGGGAGGTAGACACATACCAACTTAGCAAACAATTCCTTTTTATAGACGGGGGGAGGGGAGGGAAACTCTGGAATAAATTAGTAATAGTCCATGGCATGGATTCCAACCCCTGCCTCTAAAATGACTCTGATGATTTGGTTCAAGGATTAGAGAACAGGAAAGTATGACTAACTTACGATTTCAAACTTCCTTCACCTGTTTGTGCTGATGCTGTTCTCTCTGCATGTAACAGGTTTTTCACCTCCTTCTGCTAGCTAGATCTCATACTTCAGGACTCAACTCAGCCATCATGTCCTCTAGCAAGCCTTACGGACTCTCCATGTTGGGATCCATCCCCGCTTTCCCTACTTCTGCAGCTTGAAATGTCCTCCTCATATCTGTCCACAGAGACAAACCCTTATCCTTCAAGGTCCAGTTAAGGCTTAATATCTAAGGAAACTCTTAGACATGCTCAGCTAACAGTATTTCCCTTCCTCTGAATTCTTACAGTAACAGTAGTATTAGTGCAATGGGAAAAAAACTAAGTTCTGGACTCAAGTCCTGGCTCTGTGACTTATTAACTGGGAGACCATGGGCAGCAAGTGACTACCTCTGTGAGTCTCAGTTCTTCATAGTTTCTTTTGGGTCAGTTAGGTTCCCAACTGGATTATTAACAGCTGGGTAAGGGGCTCAGTCTTATTTTTCTCCTAGACCCTACACAGGATCTAGCTAAGAGCTAGTCACATAGGAGATGTTTAGCTAACATGTTGAGTTTCCTATCACAGACCTTGCATATGGCTCATCCAAACCTAGCAGCAACCCTCTCTCCTCTCTCTCAACGTAACTGTACCTTGCTCAGCACTAACGTAGAAATACTTGTAGCTGGGGTTTCCATTCTCATTGACGATTTCCGGACGCACCTTGCCACTGGGATCTATTGTAGACAAAATGGCAGAGGGATTGCAGTAATTACAACAGAGAGGTACTTTAAACACTACATGGTACTCTACGCCCTCTGGGAATGGAGCTTCCCCATCTTTGCAGCTCATTATCTCACCACTACCTACCCCTTGCACTTACTTTATCACAATGAATTCCTTGCAGTTCCCTGAACATAAGCCCCCCTGCCTTGGCACATACCATTCCCTCTTCCTGGCATGCTCCTTTTCTGCCTGACAATGGCAGGATCCTGTATTTTTATTTGTATCCCCCATAGAACCTAGCAGAATGCTGAGCAAAGATTAGGTGGTTATTAAATATCCGCTGAAAAATTGTGCAAAGATATGTGTCTATATACAATTCCACAGCCTAAATCTCTTAAAGCTATTGTCTCAGCTGGACTATAGGGTCAGGGGTGAGAACTGTGGTTTCTTTCTGTCCCTGCAGTGCCTAGCACACTGCTTGGCATATGGCTGATGCTCAAATGACTGCTGACTAAATAAATGGATAATTAATACCCTATCACTGACCTCAAAAGCAACTAGTTAATGGGAAAAATTTTCCTTCAAACTCGCAGTTCTGGCATTCAGAACTTCCCCATTCTCTCTTGAACTTATTGTTGGGGGGTGGCATCCCAGTAGAGCTTCACCAGGTGGAGTCAGTGCCTTGATTCATTTATCTCTTCTTGCACACCACAGATCCCCAGATTAAGATCTTGCCCCTTACCCAGGAAAAGGATTCGTGGAATGTAACCCCCATCAGGGCTGAAATCTTCATCCTTGGGCTCCTCTTCATCCTATCCAGGTTAAATGCAAATCTTAAGTCAGATCATGTCCTTCCTCTGATCAAAACCTTTCAGCGGCTTCCCCTCTCACTCAGGGTAAAACCCCAAGTCCTTGCAGTGGCCTACATGTTCTGCTACCTGGGTACTACTCTAACTTCATGTCCTATCACTCTCCCCATCTTCAGCCCTCAGTTCTCTTTAGCCACACTGACCTTCTTGCTCTTACTGTCATTAAACAAGCTAGGCATGCTCCAAACTTGCTCTTCCCTCTGCCATGACACATCTCCCCCATTAACAACATGGCTCACTCCCTCATCTGCTTCAGATCTTTGCTGAAATGAACCTTTTTTTCTGACCACTTATTTAAACTTGCAAACCATCTCCTTGCCCCTTCATTTTTAGCCATAGCATTTACCACCATTTGATATATTTTATTTTACTTATTTGCTTGTCTATATCCCCACACTAGAATGTAATCTGAAGAAGGGCAGGGATTCTGCCTGTTTTATTCAATGCTATATTCCCAGAGCCTACATCACTCACTTGCACATAGTATTTTATAAATGCATGAATTGACAAAGCTGGCATTTTAGCTACAATTATGGAGCTATGGTTCTGCCAGGAGATACAACCACACAAACAGCTTTCTTTTTAAGAAATCTCTGAAGTTGGAGAATGCTCACTGAAGACATTATTTCCATCTCTTTTGAGTGGTAAGAAGTTCATGTGTATAGGAAATCAATGGCAATTTTACAGTTATGGTTTGGTTCCTATTTCAGGAGAGTCAAAATGGGGTCATTTTTTCCAACTGCAATACAGCCTTGCCTTGAGTGAAGTTTATCAGCATTCAAGATATCTGTTGCTAACAAGCAATCCCTTAGCTGCCTCGATGTTAACTTTTAATGCGATCAGAAGATTTCTAGTCCTATGTTTAAGTGAACATTATCTTTATGGAAACTTATGGGTAGAAGCATCATCGTAGAGCATCTGAGCTTCTCACAGTTGAAGAATATGGCCTAAGAGGCAGCACAGCTAGATCCTAGAACCTATTCCTATCACTTAATTAGGCCCTATGATCTCAAACAAATCACCCATCTCCTTCAGGACTGATGCTCTTTCATAAGATGGGGATAGTACCAATGGGCTAAAAATCCTTTCCAACTCTAGATCTGATATTCTTGACTGGAATTTAGAAACCTATAGTCTATGGGAATTACATAAAGGATATCTCAAGATAAAACTGAAAAGTTGTACGTATACGCCCAGCAGAAAGTAGGTGTTCAATTAAATCAAATTTTGCAGTGGGTTGTCAGCCTGCATGTGTGACTATACCTTCAGTCCAATTATACAGAGATGTAAAGTATGTCATAATCATAGATAAAGGATGAAGGGACCTGAAAAATTTAGTCATTTTATTCAATCTCTCCTCTTCTACTTCTTCCACAAACGGATGCTGGATGATCTTCTGGCACATTTGATGCAAGCCTCCGGTGAAGAGACAAACACATACACACAAGTAGCCAGCTCTGCTGAATATGCTTTTAGACCATAAATGATATGAATCCTAAAACAGTAAAGTGTTCAAACCATAGCAGAAAAGAGAAATTCTCAAAGTCTTACCTCAAGATTTACCATAACAAAATTATGGGAAAGTTCTGAAATTTCTGTAGATTCTGCAAATTTGGGCTTTAAAGCTAGGGAGAGAAAAAAGAAAACATTTTTTAGATTTGAAGAAAATTTCACTGTCATACTCAAACCCTAATGAGCACGAGCATCACTATTGCTTTTTTGTAGTTCTGCATTTGTTGAGTTGATTCACATAACTGAAACTTCCTTTTTTTTTTTTTTTACTCTAAGTACACAACCAGAAATCTGGAGACTTTGATTCTGGTTCTGCTTCTGCCACTCACTTGCAAAGCAACATGACCTTGAGTGATTTACTTCATTATTTGAGCTTTTACCTCATTTATAAAATAAGGATAATGGCATACAAATGAAAAAAAAAAAAAAAACTGCTTTTTGTATACATTTTAGCAACTTCAACAGACAAAATAATAATACTCCTCCTCCACTAATAGTACACACACACACACACACAAACACACACAAAACCCACTACCATCAAGTCAATTCGAACTCATAGTGACCCTGTAGGACAGAACTGAACTGCCCCATAGGGTTTCCAAGGCTGTAAATCTTCCCAGAAGCAGACTGCCACATCTTTCTACCACAGTAGGTTCAAACTGCCAACCTTTTGGTTAGCAGTCTAGTGCTTTAGCCTCTACACCACCAGGGCTCCTTAATAATACATACACATACACATATATATTATTACACTATTTATTCACTCATTTTACACTCCTTTTCCAACTAGGATTTTATTAAGTGCAGCCTATCAACAACCTGACTGGAAAATGGCAGGCAGTATAGCAGAAAGGAGCCCCAGTGGTGCAGTGTTTAAACGTACAGCTGCTAACCAAGAGGTCAGCAGTTTCAATCCATCAGCTACTCCTTGGACACCCTACGGAGCAGTTCTACTCTGCCCTATAGGGTCACTGTGAGTCAGAATCGATTCGATGGCAACGGGTTTGGTTTTTATTTTTTGATTTATAGCAGAAAGAACACATGCTCCTGAGTCAGATAACCTTGGTTTCTAACGTGGTTCCCACCTCCTCCAGGAAGACTCACCTAACCACTACTCATGTCTCTGTACATGATCTCAACTTCCTTTAATATTGTCCATATCTATATTTCAGCACTTTATCCCCATACTCTTCGTAACTGTACCTTAAACACTTCACCCCCGCCCCCGTAACCCCCTGCAAATAAAACTGCAAAGTTACTGAGGACAGGAAATCTATGCCAATATTTGTTTTGAATCCTTTAAAGCAACCAACAGTGCTGGGTCAATCAATGCCAATATTAAGTAAATCTTGGTATTTGACAACACACCTGAGGCTTCATTTCAGATTAAGCACTTGCACTTACCTTTGCAAGCTCCACACCAGGATTTATGGATAATCACCATCAGGGGCAAGCCACTTAAAAACAAAACCAAGAAATTAATAATCTAGTAATTCTACTTCTTGAAATCTAGTCTAATAAAATGACCATCTTATGGAGATAGATTTACACACAAAGATGTTCATGAGGTATGATTTCAACTGGGAAAATCTTAAGACAACCCAAATATTCAATGATAGACTATCGTAACAAAACTATTGGTAAATTCTCAAATTTCTGTACATTCTGCGAAGTTGGGCTTCTCCCTGCAAAACTAGTGAGAAAAAGACTATGGGATAGGAAAAAAACAGCAAATTATAGTATTCCTAAATGTTGTGGTTATATAATCACTGAAAATAAGATTTTTCACCAATACTAAAAAACTATATAAAATTATATATAGCCTGGTTTAAATTATACAAATATGTAACACACAAGAGCCTAAAAAGAAATGTACCAATACATAATACCAGTTTCTCTATGGATTATGGAATTGTGGATTTTTCTTCTTATACTTTTTGTATTTCTGAAATTAATTTTTATAATCAGGGAGGAAAGAGTTTTTGGGTTTTCTTAAACAATGAGCAACATAACCCACCTGAACCAGTCTTGGCCAGATGAAGCTCTTAAGCCCTCAAGGCTCAACTGCCAACTTATCACAGATACTAGTAAATAGTGCCTACCCTTTGTTTAATGAAGTCAATGAAGGAATGAAAGACAAACCTAAAGTAGTATTTTTCTTGAAATACAGAATGAAGTACAATAGATACGAAGTTGCCATAATACAATCACTCTAGATTAGACTGATTGATTCAGTCTCACTGAGTACTTCCAAAGTACTATTTCAGGCAAAGGCATAACAATAATATACATGTATCTAAAGCATTAAACGAAACTTTGGCAAGTTTAACCTTTAATAGTTAAACATACACACACATATTTTTAAGAGAGATGTCAACAAACTTTTTTTAAAAACAGATTTTATTGAGGAAATAATCTAGTGCATATGTCCTTCACCTCCACTAAAGGCAATGCATCCCAAGGACAGAAACCAATGGATTCATCTGAGTTCCCAGGAATGAGACTAGCACAAAGAAGGTACTCAATAAATTTTTGTGCCATAAAAGAGCTGTGCCATCTTCACTGTTTCTGTTCACAATTGCTTAAAAAAAAAACCAACCCATCCATCCAGTCTACTCTCACACAGCTCAGATGTGGGCAATCAGTGATGTGCGATCTCCCAAGTAGCACACAATCTAAGCAACCCCTGTCCACCGGATCTCTGTTGTCTGGAAGAATTTGACAGGATCCTCCTCCAAGCTAGTTCTCTATTCTCTCTTCTCAACTTGTGGTATAAACTCAATGCCTGACAGGTTTGTTTGAGTGAATCAATCACAATAGCTCTAGCACCATACATAAATATGCTTTTCGGACCTTCAGATTATTCTCCCCAGAGAAATAGTGAGCAGTGGGAGGTTACACAGGAGCTATAGTTTCCCCCATACTCCCTCTGGTTAGTGCAAGCTCTGGCTTAGGTACTGCAAGAACATGTTGGCTAGCTGATGCAGGTTTTCGTTGTTGGGGTGCATTTTGGTATAGGAAATAAACTGGCGTCGGAGTCGGCTCAGTTCTGCCATGGTAAAGGGCCGAGTAAACCGCAGGCGCTCCGTGGTGCCAGGAAGCGTTAGCAAATCCCCAGGGACAGCGCTCTTCTGCGCTTCCATCAGCCGTGCCAACACCTGGCTCGTGACCTGGTCCAGCTGATGCAGAAAGCTGCCGGAGGCAAGGGGCTGGGGCTGTGTGGCTTGATGGGGTGGAGGAGCCCGGTTCTCAAACAGGGCAGCCCGGATCTCCGCCAGAGGCAATGGCTCCTCTAGGCCCACCAAGGTGAACAAGGGCCGGTCCCAGCGGTTCCGAGAGTCGGGAGGCTCAAAACGCAGCGTTAGGGCCTCCAGAAGTTCGGGAGGATAAAACGCACCGAACGTATGCTCTGAAGATTTCTCGGATTCTGGAATCACAAGAGCTGGAGAATTTGGTGCCCTGGTTTCCTCCGGCTCCAGTTTCTTAGGTACCTCGGCCCGGGGTCTACCGTTTACTTCAGAGCCGGCAGCCTGAGGTTCTCTGACGATACCGGTCCCGGCCTCTGGAGGTCTCCCGCCCTGCTCAGTGCGCGGCTGCCAACTCACATCAACTTTCCGGCCCCCGATCTCCTCCGCGCCCGCCACCTGAGGTCTCCTGCTCGGACCGCAGGGCTGCACGCAGTAGACCAGGCAGAGCGGGGTGCGTGCCGCCCGCGCCAGGCAGTACAGCTCGTAGCGGAAACCCTTGATGTAGTTAAGAGAATCGAGAATGACCACGTCTTGGCGACTCAGGCGCCGCTCCACCGAGGCTCGCAGCGCTCCGCGCAACGCCTTCTCACGGGCCGAATCGGCATACACGGTCGCGTCCTCCGCACCCAGCACCGCCGCGTCGTCCACTACGTACACCACTCGGCCCTCAGCCGCCAGCGCACCGCGCAGCTCCTCCGCGCGCCGGCTCTTGCCGCTGTACGGCAGCCCGCAAAACACCACAAGTGGCATTCTCCCAAAGCGCGGCCATGTGCGACTGCACCGAGTCAACTTCCGGGTTGTTCGTACACCCTGTGTAAACCGGAAATGTAAACTGCACTTCCTGCCTCCCTTGACTCTTACAGGACCTTTTGTTGCCATGGAAACAGTTTATAGGCCAACTAGGGCTATGTCCAGCTTCCTCAGAAAGGGCCTGCATTCCGTTTTGTGCAGCAGTTATTTATGTAAAATGTTAGAGGTTCCAGGAGACTGTGATCTCCTTGCGGCCAAAGACTATGCCCATTCATTTATTGTTGTTGTTGTTAGGTGTCCTGGAGTCGGTCGCGACCCTATGTAAAACAGAATGAAAACACTGCCCGGTCCTGCAGTCCTGCGCCATCCTCACAATGGTTGCTATGTTTGAGTCCATTGTTGCAGCTACTGTGTCATTCCATCTCGTTGAGGTTCAGCCTCTTTTTCGCTGACCCTCTACTTTACCAAGCCTGATGTCCTTCTGCAGGAACTGGTCCCTAACCATCCTCACTTCTAAGAAGCATTCTGGCCATACTTCTTCCAAGACAGATGTGTTCATCTGGCAGTCCAATATTCTTCACCAACACCATAATCCAAAGGCATCAATTCTTTGGTCTTCCTTATTCATTGCCTAGCTTTCGCATGCATATGAGGCGACTGAAAATACCTACCACAGCTTAGGTCAGGCGCACCTTAGTCTCAAAGTGACATGTTTGCTATTTAACACTTTAAAGAGATCTTTTATGGCAGATTTGCCCAATGCAATATGTCGTGTGATTTCTTGACTGCTGCTTCCATGGGCATTGATTGTGGATCCAAGTAAAATGAAATCCTTGACAACTTCAATCTTTTCTCCGTTTATCATGATGTTGCTCACTGGTCCAGTTGTGAGGATTTTTGTTTTCTTTAGGTTGAGGTGTAATCCATACTGAAGGCTATAGTCTTTAATCTTCATCAGTAAGCAAGGCTGTGTCACCTGCATGCAAAGTTGTTAACGAATCTTCCTCCAATCTTGATGCCGTGTTCTTCGCATAATCAAGCTTCTCGGCCTATCTGCTCAGCAGACAGATTGAATAAATATGGTGACAGGATCCTGATGCACACCTTTCCTGACTTTAAATGCAGTATCCCTTTGTTCTGTTGGAATGACTACCTCTTGGTCTATGTATAGGTTCTGCATGAGCACAATTAACTGTTCTGGAATTCCCATTCTTCGCAATGTTATCCATAATTTGTAACGATCCACTTAGTTGAATGCCTTTGTCAAAAATGTCAATAAAACACAGGTAAACATTTTTCTGATATTCTCTGCTTTCAGCCGAGATCCATCTGACATCAACAATGATATCCCTCGTTCCATGTCTTCTTCTGAATCTGGCTTGAATTTCTGGCAGTTCCCTGTCAATGTACTGCTGCAATAGTTTTTTAAGTATCTTCAGCAAAATTTTCTTGCATGTGATATTAATGATGCTGTTCGATAATTTCTGCATTCGGTTGGATCACCTTTCTTTGGAATGAGCATAAATATGGTTGACCAGGCAGCTGTCTTCCAAATTTCTTGGCATAGACGAGTGAGCACCTCCAGCACTACATCCAGTTGCTGAAACATCTCAGTTGGTATTCCATCAATTCCTGGAGCCTTGTTTTTCACCAAAGCCTTCAATGCAGTTTAGGATTCTTCCTTCAGTACCATCGGTTCTTGACCATATGCTACATCCTGAAATGGCTGAATGTTGACCAATTCTTTTTGGTACAGTGTGTCTTTGCATCCCTTCCATCTTCTTTTGATGCTTCCTGTGTCGTTCAATATTTTCCCGGTAGAATTCTTTAATATTGCAACTCGAGTCTTGAATTTTCTCTTCGGTTCTTCCAGCTTGAGAAATGCTGAGCATGTTCTTCCCTTCTGGAGTTTTCTAACTCCACATCTTTGCATATTTCATTGTAATACTTTACTCTGTCTTCTCGAGTCTCTTCTGTTCAACTTATTTATTAATGGGGGTTTAATGTACATTGAAGGAGCCCTGGTGGTACAGTGGTTAAACACTCAGCTGCTAACAGAAATGTCAGCGGTTGGAACCTAACAGCCACTCTATGGGATAAAGTCGTGGCAGTCAGCTTCCGTAAAGATTACAGCCTTGGAAACCCTATGGGACAGTTCTACTGTGTCCTATAGGGTCATTATGAGTCGGAATCGACTCTACGTCAATGGGTTTGGCTTGGTTTTGGTTTAATGTGCATTACAGGAGATCTGGTGGTGCAATGGTTAAAGTGCTCACCTGTGCTGCTAACTAAACGCTGCCATTGGAACCCCCAGATGCTCCACAGAAGAAAAGACCTGGTGATCTGCTCCAGTAAAGATTACTGCCTAGGAAACTCTATGCGGCAGTTCTACTGTCCTACAGGGTGACTATGAGTTAGGATCGACTCCATGGCACACAACACCACCACCACAATGTGCATTAAACGTTGCAAAACAATCAACACTGTAGAAGCAATCGATAAATGTTAATTCTCCTTCACTGCTCTTCTCAGTAAATGTCTATTCAACAACCATTTCAATCATTCAGTATCTCCATGGCTGGAGATGCAACGATGAACATAAAACTGTTGCCCACTAGGAGATCAACAATCTGAATGGGAAGAGTCAGGCATCTACAATCAGAATAACACATGCTATAATGGACAGATGTAGGTGGGGTTGTAAAAGTACACAAAGAAACAAACTGTCTATTGAAATCTATGAAGACTTTACCCAGGAATAGTTATTTTATTTAGAACTTGAAAAACTAATAGGAATTCTTCTCCAAATATTGCATGGGACATACTAATAATAAAAAATATTGCATGGGACTTATTTATACAATAAAATTATTTGTTCTTTATCTGAAATTCAAATTTAACTGGGCATCCTTTATTTTTATTTGCTAAATCTGGTAACCCTGCTTTGCTGGGGAAAGTGTAAGACCTAGAGCCATGAAACACAGGATCTGCTCTAGGAACAGCAAGCACTACAGCTTGGTAGATGCAGAAGTGTGAGTGCTTTTGTGTGAGTATGTGTGTGTGTGTATAAGATAGGTGCACATATTTTGAGGGTGGAGTAGGTCTTTGTATCTCTCCAGCACAACATAGTAGAGAATATTCAAGTCTTGGCCTTGCCATTTACTAGCTGTGTAACTATGGGTGAGTTATTTAATTTTCTGTGCCTCAATTTCCTCTTCTGTGAAATGCTAACAACAGTTCTTACTCCACAGACTGTACCAACCTTGTAGGTTGTTGTGAGGATTGTTGTTGTGTGCCTTCGAGTAGATTCTGACTCACAGCGACCCTATATGAAAGGGTAGGGCTACTTCATATGGTTTTCTAGGCTGTAATCTTTACGGGAGCAGATTGCCCAGTCTGTCTCCCATGGAATTGTTGTGGGTTTGAACCGCCAACCTTCTGATTAGCAGCTGAGCACCTAACCGTTGTGCCACCAGGGCTCCTGTTGTAAGGATTAAATGAGCTAATACATGTAAACTGTAAGGATGAAGTACATGTCAGTCTTGTTATTATTATCACCACTACTAGTAGTATAGTACTACCTAGCGTATAATAATAACAGAGTAAAAAAACAAACAATATACAGTAAGCACTGAATAACTGGTTGAATTGAATTGCATGAATATACATTTTAGAAGCCTGTCATAGGCCAACATCCTGATAGCTCTATATACACAGACTAAACAGAATATTGATGCAACCACCTCCTAAAGCCAACAAAATTTTTTTTCCCAAACTCTTTTTTACTTAAAACATCCAAACTATGAAGACACATTATAGGATGGCAGCGTAAAGGTTAAACACGCGGACTTCAGGGATGTAAGGGAACGGCTTTGAGTCCCCATTTTCACCACTTACTACCAGTGTAACTGTGAGCAAATTACATTGCTTATCTGATGCTAAGTTTCCTCATCTGTAAAATGCGGTTAATACATACTGCATAGAGTTATTAAAAGAATTAAATGAGATAATGCATTGAACTTACTTAGCACAGTGCCTGGCATATATTAAGTGCTCAAAAAATGGTAACTTTTGCTATTATTAACAATACTATCATTATCTACCTCGAAACACGTTGAAGTTTGCTCCCTCACCAGTTCTCAAGCCAAACATTTATAAGTTCTCTCTGCTTACCAGGAAGTTTGGGACAGACAAATGCCTGCAGAGCCAAAGGCCTGCACAGCCAAATGCCTCAGATCACAAGAGTTGGTCTATAAGAAATCTTCATTCATTTTCAGTTGCCTTGTAAGTTACTTTCATTTTCTCCGAAGAAATATACTGAAACAAAAAATCCCCTCACCACATGACAACCTAAGTGTGCTGGAGGCTTCAGGGATAGAGCAAGAAATCTGAAGAAGCCTATGGGTTCCACTGATCTTGCCAGCTGACAGTACACTTTCTTCTTCAAACTTCCAAAGCACTTTATTTTTCCCTCTCTTGTGGCACAATAAGGAACCCTGGTGGTAGGCACTTGGCTGTGAACTGAAAGGTCAGTGGTCCGAACCCACCAGCTCCTACGTGGGAGAAAGATGTAGCAGTATGCTTCCGTAAAGATTCATAGCCTTGGAAATCCTATGGGGGCAGTTCTGCTCTGTCCTACAGGGTCGTTATGAGTCTGAATCGACTTGACGGCAGTAGGCGGGTATGACACACTATCATAATCTACCTTGGTATTATAGCATTATATGCATGTCTCACATAACTAATGGAGGGCTAAGGCCATATCTTAGTCATCTATGAGTCTTCCACGGTTCCTGACAAGGCGCCTTACACATTGTAGACATGCAATGAATATTTGCTAAATTAAATGAATTAGTGAATGGCTGGTATTTAACAAATATGCTCAGTGAAATGGTTTCTGTGCCAATCTTCAAAAAGCCTTGAAGCCTTGTAACATTAGAGTGATTCAGGGACTTGACAATTTTAAATCAAAACAGCTTTTATAAGCTTCTATATGTTTAAAACCCAGGATTTTATATCCTTATTCTACAAGGAGTCATTACCAAAGTTATAGATTCTAAGGAAGACCAAGTCTCAGATATTAAAGAGCATCTGAGGGGACTAAGGGAGCTAAAGAAGAGAAACAAAGCATCAAGTTCGGCGTTCTCATTTTAGCCTCATTCCTGTGGCTCAACTCTAAGGGCCAGAGCCAAGAGGACAGAATTGTTTTTATCCTTTTTTTCAATCAGATACCACAGCAGTCAACAGCTCTGCTATCCAACTTTGACGCATGGTTCACACTACAGGTTCCCAATTTTCAGTGGCCAGGAACGAAAAATGGATGCTGAGAGACAATCTCCAAAAAGTTAGCAAAGGCAATCTCATAGACAGGTCACTCTTGTCCAAAAGTCAAAAAGACATTGCGGTGTGATGGATGGCTTTTGTGTGGCCTTTCTCACCATGGTCTTGTAACTCCCACCAAATGACTGGGTGGGACCATGCCAATAAAGTATATGGAACCCTAAGAAGGGTATCGGTCAGTTTTGCCACCCTGTTAGGCATAAAATGAGCCATCTGAGAGATGGAAAGAAGAGGATCTCACCACCACCAAGAAGGAATAACCAGGAGTAGAACTCGTCCTTCGGACCTGGGATCCCTGTACTGAGACCCTCCTAGACCCAGGAGACAGAGAAAGAGCTGTAACATGGAAGACTGCAAGAAGGCGAGAAGCAGCGGCAGAGAAATGGCAGCGGCAGAGAAATGGCAGCAGCAGAGACAGCAAAACTAGGAGACCAGCAAGAGACAGCTTGGTGGACTTCCCCGGCCTGTGGAGCAATAAAGCAGCTGAGTGCCTTTGGGCAGGAGGCTTGCTGGTGGAATAGGGTGCCTGAGGGCACTTGGTGGAGCTAGGCTTGCCGACCCACAGAGGTAGAGCTGAGCACCTTTGAGCTGCGGCTTAGCAGCTGAGTAGGGTGCCTCAGGGCCCTTATTGGCAGAACTAAAAGAGCTTTGTAACACTTGCCCGAGGAGGGCAGAGGCTGAGGGCCAGAGAGAGGCGTGCCTGCAGCAAGGCTGGGAAGAGGCTGCCCTGATGGAAGAACTGTATCCTGAGTGTTCCTGAACCTGAATTGTGACCTGTTACTTCCCTAATAAACCCCATAATCATGAGTATTGTCTGTGAGTTCTATATGGCCACTGCAAATGAATTATTAAACCCAGCAGAGAAGTAGAGAACACCATGGGAGGGGCAGTTGGTGTCAGAATTAGTAAAGATGGTGCAGAGAAGAGGCATGTCTGACCTCCGCCTCACAGGAATCAGCCTTGGGCTGTTGATCGTGGTCCTCCTTCTGCCTGGCGAAGTTACAGGAGGTCTGATGCCACCCCCACACGTTTCTTACATACGCAGCCATTTTCATTCCATCATCATACTTCATTCTCACAACCTAAAACTTAAATTCTCAAAAACCTTCCCTCCCCTGTCCTGCCTTTTCCTTCTCCTTTGTATGAGTTGTCTGTGCATATGTTAAACCAACCTGTTCCATCTGAGACTATTGGGCAGTATTGTATGTTAGTTGAGAGTACAGGCTCTGAAGCCAGAAAACCTGGGTCTGAATCCTGGCTCTGCCATTTACTAGCTGTGCAATCTTGGGCAAGTTACTTAACTGTTTTGTGCCTTACTTTCTCCTGTCCAAAATGAAAATAATGACAGTACTTACCTCAAACAGCTACTGTGAGAAATAAATTAGTTAATTCACATAAAGTGTTTATATCAATGCCTGGTGCACAGTAAGAACTTAATAAATATCGGTTAGTATTGTTGTCATGAGGATGGCAAGACTTTGTCTTGCTTACTTTGGACATGTCATCAGAGGGGTCCAATCACTGGAGAAGGACATCATGCTTGGTAAAGTAGAGGGTTGGTGAAAAAGAGAGCTTCAATGACATGGATTGACACAGTGGTTGCAACAGTGGGTTCAAACATAGTAACGATTGTGAAGATGAAGCAGGATTGGGCAATATTTTGTTCAGTTATACATAAGGTTGCTATGAGTCAGAGCCTACCCAATGGCACCTAACAACAACAGTAACAACAACACTTATTATCATCATTGTTACCAGGCAACTACTCAGTTCTCTCTCTGCCTTGGCATAACCTTTCTAATAAGGTGATTGCTGGAAAGTGTTTTACCACCTAAATGAACTAAAACCATGTCTCATACCTGGCAGCTGCTTCTTTCTTCCCATCTTCTAGTGTCCTCCAATGAATGTGATCACCAAAACCTGGAAGGAAAGAGCCTTATAAACATTCACACAACCACCATAGGGCACAGGCCCAAGAAAGAAGTGTGGCATGTTCACAAGGTACCCACAAAAAAGGCTTTCCTCTATCAAGAGCCTCTTGTTCAAGTTCCAGCTCCACCACTTTCTAGGTGTGTGGGACCTTGGATAGTCTCAGTTTTTATAATTGTAAAATGGGGATAAAAAGCACCAAACCAAACCTGTGCCATCGAGTTGATTCCTACTCATAGCGACCCTACAGGACAGAGTAGAACTGCACCATAGGGTTTCCAAGGAGCGGCTGGACGACTCACACTTCCGACCTTAAGGTTAGCAGGTGAGCTCTTAACCACTGCGCCACCACAGCTCCAAAATGGGGATAACACCCCTAATTCACAGAGTTTTTATGGAGATTTAATGAAATAACGGCTGTGAAACACTGTGGAGACTATCACAGACTGTCCCAATACTACTATAAGAATGAACAAGAATTTTCCACAGGTTCAGCATGAGGCAGGTCACAACAAATTATTGCTAGTTGGAGGCAATACAGTAATATAGCTTTACAGTCAGAGAGACATGGGTCCATGACTCCACTTCCTGTTAAGTGTGTGACTTTATATGAGTGCAGTAAACTCTCCAAGTCTCAATTTCTTCATCTGTAAAACCGAGATATTAATACCTACCTCAGAGTCTTGGTGTAAAAATTAAATGAGATCATGTATGTAAAGCTACTGTTGTTATCATTCTCTACACTTCAGACAGAGCACTCTTTTTAAACCATGTCACTGCTGTGTAAAAACCTTTCAAAGGCTTCTCAATGCCCCCAAAGTTTAGGTCAAACTCTTGTAGTGGGGCTTACAAAGCCTTTCAGAATATGGTACCTGTCCACCTCTCCAGCCTCATTACTACACTTTTTCTAAAATCCTACACATGAAACTATTTTCATTTCCTGAAATGCAGCATGCACTCTCTCCCTTCCAGACCTTCAGAATCCCTGCTATATCTGCCTTTCCTCCCCACCCTCACCTCCAACTCATTCTTCAGGTATCTGCCGAGAGGGCATTTCTTCCGGTAAATCTTCTCTGACTCTCAAAGCATCCCATTCTTGTCCCATTACAGCATTTCCCAGGCTTAAAGGGGAGTTTCCTAAGGGGCTGAACCATATCTGTCTTGTTCCTGTTTCCCTAGCATTCAGCACTACACAAGCTACTACACAGTAACTGCTCAATAAAATATTTATTATGTAAATGAATTTTATTTAGGCCATTCACATAAATGACATAATTTTATATCTGGAAAATGTTAGTGATTATAATGTTAGCTGCTTTTTATTCACCACCTAATATGTGCCAGGCATGATACATTTGCTATTCTCATTTAAATTTGGTCTTAACAATAACCCGCTTGAACTTCTGTATGGTTCAGTTTTTTCATCCTTAAAATAGGCATAATATAGCTATATCTCATAAGGTTGCTACTGAGGATTAAGTACAAAAATACATGTAAAGAACTTAGCACAGTGCCGAGGCATATTGTAAATGATCGGTAAATAGTAGCTATTGTCACTATTTACAGATGAGACCTCTGAGGCTCAGAGAAGTTACATAACCTATCCAACCTGTCACATAGTTGGTAAAAGGCCAGTCTTGGATTTAAACTTCAATCCTGTAAATTTTGACTACTATACTATCGTCTAGATTTTTCTTTCCCAGAAATAAATTCAAATCTAATTGCCATACCGAATCAGTGCTACCACTGAGGGAAATAAACAGCTCGTCCGGATTAGTGCACTGAGGCAGTGTCGGATCAAAGAATAGAGCAGGGTTAGCCTCTTGGCTGTGTTCAAACTAACCATCATCACTTTTCATTCCCAACAGCACGGACTGCTGGCCAAGAAAAAAATGTGTCACTTGCCTAGGACCCAAAGTTTGATCCTGAAGAGTGAATGACTGAAAGTAAAATTGGGTGGATGTCCAGGAGAACAGGAAGATGCCTAACGTGATCACCCTCATTCTACCCATCAACACCTAACTCAGGCAACTGAATCCTGCTTTGGCAGGAGGCCCAACTAGACTGTCTGAAGGGATAGCCACCTACAAAACAATGAAATCTTTTAAAACAAACTTTTAAAATGTACTTGCTGGATTCACAGTACTAAGGGAAATCTCTGCCACAAAGTAAGCTAAAACCAGACAAGAAACAGTAAGCAACAAGCAACAGGCTGCCTCTAAAGTGAATGTTCATTGTGATGTGGCAGAAAGGAGAAGATGAACCTGAAACTCTTATATCAATCCAACTCTCAAAGGGACTACAGAGATTTCAGGTCAGTAGTATCCCCTGATTTCCAGATGAATCAAATGCAAAACCTTTTTGTGGGAACGCATTCTTCACTTCAGGCCTCCAAGACTGCCAACTACGAAGAACCACCAATATGAGCTCTCAATAGCAGATCACCAAACACTTAAGAAAACAAGTCACCATGACGAAGAGTCAACAGAAATAACAGATTTAGATTCCTAAGGACTTCAGGTATTAGAATTATCATCCACAGAATATAAAAATAGCTATGTATAAAATGTTTAAAAAAATAACATATGGAAATCACAAAATGGGCATGCAATACCACACAATAAAAATGAATAGGCAAATTTGCAAAGGCACCAAATAGACCTTTCAGAAATTTAAAAATGTAGTTGTTGAAATAAAAAATTCAGTGGATAGGTTAAAGCAGAAAATTAGAGACAGGAAGAGAGATAGATTAGAAGAATTTATTCAGGATGCAGCGCATAGAGATAACCAAACAAAAAAACCAGACCAGCTGCCCTCGAGTCAATTCTGACTCATAGTGACCCTACAGAGTAGAACTGCCCCATAGGGTTTCCAAGGCTGTAATCTTTACGGAAGCAGACTGTCATATCTTTCTTCCCTGAAGTGGCTGGTGGGTTCAAACCATAGACCTTTCAGCTAGTAGCCAAGCACTTTACCACTGCGCCACCAAGGCTCCTTAAATAGAGAGAAGGAGATAAAAAATATGAAGGAGAGGCCAAGACACATGGAGACTGAGAAAGTCTAGTATGTGTAGAATTGAAGTCTCAGAATGAAAAGATAGAAGAAAAAGACATATTTGAAGAGACAATGGCTGACAATTTTCAAGAACTAAGACAAAAATATGAAACTGTAAATATGAGAAGCACAATGCATACCAACTAGAATAAATTACAAAAACAAAAAACACATACCTAAATTGCAGTGAAACTGCAAAACAACAAAAACATGGAGAAGATCTTAAAAGCAGCCAGGGAAAAATGACATATTTCCTACAAAGGAATGCTATTTAGACTGACAGGAACAACAGAAGTCAAAAGAAAGCAAAATATCATCTTCAAAATGCTCAAAGAAAAGTAACTCTAAACCTAGAATTTTGTACCTAACAAAACTATATTTCAAGAACAAGGGCAAAATAGACGTTTTTAGATAAACTAAGAGATTTTTCTACCATTAGGGTATTCACTTATTATCATTGCAATAAATATTAATTGGGCAGTATTATATAGTGATTAAGAGCATGGACTGTGGGACAAGATTGCCTGGATTCCTACTCTGCCATGTACTATCTATGCGATTTTGGGCAAGTTACTTCAGTTTCCTCTACTGTAAAATGTGGATAATAGTACCTACTTCTTAGGATTGCTGTGAGGATTAAATAAAGGAAACATTAAAGAGCTTAGAACTGTGCCTGGGACTTGAGAAGTGCTATAAGTATTTGCTATTAATATAATATGCTAGGCACTATTCAGAGCCCTGGTGGCAAAGTGGTTAAGAGTTCAGGCTGCTAACCAAAAGGACAGCAGTTCGAATCCACCAGCTGCTCCCTGGAAACCCTATGGGGCAGTTCTACTCTGTCCTATAAGGTGGCTATGAGTTGGAATTGACTCAACAGCACACAACAACAACAGGCACTATTCAGTACTTTACAAATGCCAATCATCATAACAACCCTCTGAGATAGATGCTGTAATAAATTTCAATTTACAGATGAGAAACCTGAGGCACAAAGCTTAAGTAACTTTCCCAAGGTCATACAGCTAGTGAGTATCAGTGCTGGGATCTGAATCTAGGCAGTCAGGGTACAGAGTCCTTGCTTTTAAAGACTACACTATGCTCTTTCCAAATAGAAGGAGGTGAGGACAAAGAGGCAAAGGAGGAAGCAGACAATGCAGGGCTTTGTAGGCCACTGTAAAGACTCTGGCTTTTATTGAGTGAGATGGGGGCTGTTGGACTGCTTTGAGCAGAGTAATAATGTGACGTGACTTAAGTTTTAACAGGTTGCTCCGACTTTTGTGTTGAAAACAGACTGTAGGAGGGCAAAGGCAAAAGAAGGGAGATCAGTAAACAGGCTATTACAATAATCTGAGCAAGCAATGATGGTGGGTTAGCAAAGCTAAGAAGTTTCCTGAATACAATCAAACAATTCGAGGGACAGAGTAGCAGGGGCAGGGGTCTGGGGACCATGTTTTCACGGAACATCTAGGTCAATTGGCATAACAAAGCTTATTTAGAAAATGTTCTGCATCTCACTTTGTTGAGTGGTGTCTGAGGTCTTAAAAGCTAGCAAGCGGCCATCTAAGATGTATCAATTGGTCCCAACCACCTGGAGTAAAGGAGAATGAAGAACACCAAAGACACAAGTAAAGTATTAGCTCAAGAAAGGGCCACATAAACCAGAGACTTCATCAGCCTGAGACCAGAAGAACAAGATGGTGCCCGGCTACCACCAATGACCACCCTGACACAGAACACAACAGAGAGTCCCTTGACAGAGTAGGAGAAAGGTGGGGTGCAGAACTCAAATTCTAGTAAAAAGACCCAACTTAATAGTCTGACTGAGACTGGAGGAGCCCCAGAAAGCATGGCCCTGGACTCTCTGTCAACCCAGAACTAAAACAATTCCCGAGGCCAACTCTTCAAAGATTGGACTGGACTGTGGGACATAAGATGGC